TGTGTGTGTGTGTGTGTGTGTGTGTGTGCGTGTCTGTGCTTACGTGTTGAGGCTGCCGTACACACTGCCTCCAGTCCTGGCGGTGAAGACCTTACTCAGCATCAGCTGAGGTGGTGATCTGATATGATGATAGTACAGGGACAACGGTCATCTGCATATGTGAGCTCGCTTCTTGTACTTGTGCACATTTGTGTACCTTTCATATCTAAAGTTGTCACTTTCGTTTTTCACTTTTGTAATGTAAATCAGAATTTCATACTCGACAATAGACTTTCAGACTAAATGGCAAAGAAACCTGGTCAGAAGATGTGTTTTCATTTTATTTCATTATCAGCTGCAAGAAGAAAAGCCAGCTTCTCTCTTCTTCTTACCTGATCTGGTGGATTTTTAGTGTGGAGCCTTTGTAACTCATGGCAACAGAGCCGAACATCATTTCCCCCAACATTACCACATCGGACGAACACCTCGAACCCTGGAAAAGAGCAAAGAAGCAGAGATTTTAAATTTTAACTTTAAGATATTCTGGGGTCATTGATAGGACAAAGTTTGAGTGTGAGAGGTGGAGAGAGAGCATGGAAGACATGCGGCAAACAACCAGGTGAGCCTTTCAATGTATATTTTTCATCTTAAAGAGCGATGAACTCGAGTGTGAACAGACTGACAACGTGACTCCTGCAGGACCTGGATATGCATATGCACACATGAAATCTGAATGCATATACATAATGTTAGTGTTTTGTGTGTATATCACCTTGAGCGTTAATAAATGCACAGCTACACGTATTATATAAAAGCAGTAGAAGTTTACACCTTTTCGTCTTGGCTGATACTATTATAGGTGGAAATCTCTAAGCACAGGTGTGAATGCACACAACCCAAACTAAGGGCAACATTCAGAGGTGGAATGTGTCCCACATTTAATCACTTTCTTTTAGCAGTGTGAATACAGATGTGTCCCGGGCCACAATGAAGGACTGCCTACTCAACTGATGTTCTCGAGTTCGCAAACTAACAAAAGAAGAACACATTGTTAAGGTTATGGCCTATGTGTTACCTGGAAGCGGAGACCCTGCTCTTTGGTGTCTTTGGTTTCAGAGGTGCAAGAGGAGGAGCTGTCCAGGGAACTGCTGCTGCCACCTGTGGGTCGGAGCTGGCAGCATTTCCCGAACATCTTGACCTGGCCCTCAGTGCTCTGTGGAGTAAAAAGGACACACTTTGTAAGTGAATTTAAAAGGTTATTTTGATAAAGTTCATTCTGCAGCAAGCTCTTAACCTGCCAAGTTGATTTTTGATTGGTATTTACTTCTATTGTTTTAAAAATGTACAAATAAGCTGCAGCTCTTTGTTATTTTGTGCAAATTTACATGACACCATTAAGATAGATGCAAATGTTTCTGTTTTTAGCCCAATCATGTGGAAACAGCCTTAACACATGAGTAAACATCTATAACATACTCTTTTTCTGTATATTTCCCTTGATGCTCTGACATTTTAAGCAGTCCCAAAATAAAAAGTCACTCCTAATTATGAAGTTCACTGTTGGAAATCATAAACTGAATTGAAATCTTCATTTTGATCAAGTTAAAAACCACAGAAGCATAATCCAGGGGAACGTGTGTAAACAGCAAACTAAATTGTGAGCTCAATCAGCCTGTGTCATGTGCCTTCTTAACTTGGCAGCCTGTTGAAGAGGAATGCATGTGGGACTGTGGGAATGGAAGGGGGAGGGTGTGGGTGTCAGTGTGTGTGTGCACTTTTTAGCTAGACTCTGGTAATGGCTCACTTGAAACCACTGTTGCTGATAATGTTAAGAGAAAGGAAAGGATAGAGAGAGGGAAAAATGAGAGGGCAGCAAAGAAAACAAAATGAGCTGGGGAGGGAAGGAAAACGGGAAGAGAGGGAGAAAGACTATTGTTTGCTTCATTGCTCTCTCTCTCTATATATATGTATATTTTTCAAGACTGCACATATGTACATTTTCTGTTCACTCTCATCAATATCTTGACTGATTTCTTTATGCACACACACAGTTATATGGCCACACTGAGTCAGAGTGAGTTTGTGCTCAACTGTGTACATGGGTGTGTGTGTGTGTCCACTGCAGTGCAGCATGAAGTGTGTACACAGGAGCCAGCAGCATGTGACTGGCAGTCATATGACTCTTTCTGGAACTCGTGAGCGCGCAGCACTGCAATCATTTCCTCCCTCACTCCCTCCCTTCACCTCTCCCTCTCCACCAGTAGAACTTCTCCCTCTAATTCCTGCAGCTGTTTTTCTTTCACCAGATTTTTTTCTAGCTCTCTTTCTCTACATGTTTTATTCTTTTCCCTGTGTTTCTTCACTCTAAGCTCTCACTACATGATTCTTTGTAATGCTATTCTGCTTTCTCTTTGACCCTCTGTGCTTCTCTTCTATCTGCCTTTGATCTCGCCAAAATAAATTCCTCTGACTTGACAAAAAATAAACAAACTAAACAAAAAAAAACAAAACAAACAGCCATCATGTGATAGAAGTCACACGGTAGCTGGCAAAGACCTAACGATGCAGAATGCAGCAAAAATATTGGTATGGACAACGTAACACTAACACACACATGCTCGGAAACTCACACACACACACTGCATTAACCTCTCATTCCTTTTAGCTCATTTTGGAAGCTCACAAATGTCGCTGTGCAAGAGACACACACAGACGCACACACACGCACGTACGCACACAAAAACTCTCCTTATTGCAGTTCTATATCTGGCACCAGTCTTCTCTGAAAGAAAAATTTAAGTAAATCCTTGTGTATGAGATGAGAAAGTTGTGCAAACAGACCACCAGATTTCCAATGTCAGGGTCACATTCAGTTTGTCAGCATGAGGCTGGCATGTGTGTGTAGGTGGACTGAAAGTCAGGCAGGTTTAGAGACAGAAAGGTCGAGAGTGATTTATAGAAGATGAGAGATAATGTAGGAGAGAGCAAGATCATCAGTATAGAGACAGAGGACAGTAATCAGGAGATTAGCAATCGGCATATTTAGGAGACAGAAAGACAGAAGGGCTAGAGAAAAGCAGATCAAAGAAGAGAGCAAATTTTGAAAAGGTATGAGAGGAAATTTTATAGAGGGTGAGACAATGCCAGAATTAGAAGACAGATGAGGGAGAGGCAAGGAGACAGTGACGCTGCTGTCATGTGAGGATGAAAGAATGCTGCTTACACATGAGCTGTCAGCTGAGGCTATTATTATTGGAGATAAGAGCACCAGAACAAACCGCTCAGGGTTAGACAGCAACACCCAGGAGTGGTAGGAAATTATCAGGCGTATTATTCAAAAATTTAAAAGACGACAAGTTTATTTATCATATATCATCATTTAGTGGAAATATCAGCCAGCAGGTGACGTATGGAGGAGGCCACACACACACACGTACACACACACATACACTCGGCTGGTAGTCAAAACACATACGTCTCATGATTGATGGCTATTGTTGTACACACCCTGATTAAACTGCAACTGTAGTAAAAATGTTTTTATCATCAAGTGTCACTGGGTGTGTTAGCAATTTATCAAAGCTACCAAGGAGATCTGACTCCCACACACAGTGGCAGATAAAATCGAATGACTGTTTGATTTTAAGGTAACGTCTTCCATCAGACTCGACTTACGCCGGTGTATTGATCATCAATCGTTTATGTAAATTTCAAGGTCTGCAACCTTCTGCATTAAGAAATAAGGACAAAATAAAAGTCTATTTCATTAACAAAATATCACACCGAACTAACAATTCAGTAAAAGGTGCTGTGGGCCGTCCTGCAGGATAAGGTGTAACTTGTGTCCTCTGAACATCATGACAGTCACTGTAGGACGTCATGCCTGTGTGACTGTCTCTGAGATCTTTGCTCAAATGTTCTGACTGTCTGTCAGCCTTATAAGTAAAATGTATCTGTAAAACATTTACATTGAATAAAAAAAAAAAATAGGAACGGGCACTGTGAAATTGAATCATGTTCTGCAATACATTTTACATTGTACCTCCTAATAAGGACAATACAAATATTATACCTAAAGCAATAAGCTGACACTGAACAACAAAACCTGGAGCCATGTAATTCATTTTTGTTCCAATCTATTATAGAGAAACAAGGATGGGCTTCCAAATGAACCCCCCCCCCAACACACACACACACACACACACAAACACTCAACAGACATGTGACTCACGGTGATGGGAGTTTCCTCCGTGCTCCTCTTTTTGGCGTTGGAGTCGAAGATGACATTTCTGCCACGTCTCTCACAGTCCTGGTACACTATTAACCTGATCTGACTGGGCTCCAGCTGGGGAAGAGGCCAGCTAGATGAAAGGAAGAATAGATAGCAAATAGAGGGATACAACGAGGGAGAGAGTGTGAGGATTGAGAGAGAAAAGTGATGTAGAAAAAGAGATGAGGAAGAGGAGGGTGGGAGAGAAAAGAATGTTATACATACTAATAGACTGAGTCGCTATATTAGACTAGTATTCAATAAACTCTGTATATGATTAGTAAAATAATGCATCACAGTAAATAATCCAAACTGCTTCTTATTCAGGACATTTCATTCAACAGTAGCCTATATGTCCGAAACCTGTAAGAGCAGAAATAAAAAAATGTTGTTCCGTGCTCATTTTTTGTTGCTCCTATGTTCATTCACACAGTTACACATGTGACAGTCATCTGGTAAAACCAGTCTACAGCTCTGCTAAACAAAAAGAAATGCAGACTTGCCATTAATACTTTGTTTTTTTTACCCACTACTGTTTTTTTTTTATTCGATTTGACTCAGTTATGACTTGATGAGGATATTCCTATTTATTCCCAGTATGATATCTGAGTCATTAGACAATAAGAGATCAAATTTATACCCATTGTTATGGAGATTTAAGATATTAAAGTGTGGTAGACTCTCATATCGGTACATTGTCTCTAGCAGCAAATACTGGACAACAGTTAAGTAACAGTTAAGCCATTTTCGCTGCCAGCCTCCGCTCGATGCCTGTTGCTAGGTTACCTCTGGTTTCATACGGCTCATCTTTTTCATCTCGAGTAATATTGTGAATGAACTGGTTGCAAATCTTCCCCTGCATCCACATCACTGTGGGTACATGCATGTCATCACAGGACTCTGGCAGTGCCCTCTGCTTTTGGAGAAACTCCGTGATTGATTGAGGAGGAGATGACAGGGGACTGGACCCACGGATAAGGTGGTCAAGGATTTCTGTCTGATCTGACTGATAGATGGCTCGGGCAGATAAACACATGCTAGGCCTAAATATAGCCCTTTATTGGGGAACAGGGAGGCCCCCTTAACATATGAATTTATAGGAAATGTGTTGGTGGAAATGAGTGGAAAAGGAACAGTTAAGTCCCTTTAACATTCCAACAAAAGAGCATTTAACTGAAGCGTTTCAGCTGTTGGTCACAGGGCCTTCACAAGGCAGGAAATACAACTGTGTGTGAGAGAGAAGGTCTACAAGTACGTTCCCGTGTGTCCAAGCTACTATTTACAAAAAACAGGTGTGAAAGTATGACCAACATTCTCGGAGGCAAAACAATGCAGTCTTGCAAGGGAGTGGGGAGGGGAAGGGGAATCATGTGCCTGAGCCTCAGTGTTAAGTTGTCAAACTAATGTCGTTTTTCAAACAGGGCTGTAAGATGAGGAAATACTAGAGGAACTTCGTGGGGCTCATATGAGTTGCCTCAACATTTCTGCATAGAAACATAACCAGCGCTCACTCCTATAGTGCAGTTTCTTTCTACTTGACAGGAATTCTGCCGACCACTATGGACCAAAACCACCATCTGAATTTAAATTAGGTTTTGTGGGCAGTCGACAGGAGGAGCCATTTTTTACTGCATGCATGCTGCTGCACAGTTTTTCCACACGGCTGAGTGTGTGTGCTGCGGGAATTCTGCAACTTTCATCCTGTCCATGCACATATGAACCCATATGAACACACTGTTGCTGCTTATCAACCAACATAAATAAATCAATGCAAGGGAAACACTGTAAAGCATAAACATATAATTGTCTCACTAAATCCAGGAAATTAAAAGCTCTATTTCAATGGTTCAAATAGACAAGCTGAATGCGACAACCAGGCTACAGGCAATTATTTGATGACACGTCACTGACCTGACTGTGACAGCCATCTTCTACTCCTGTGGTGACTGATCTAATCACTCCACATGTATCTTCATTTATGGTATCGCACTTAATCATATTTATCAAAGGGTGTAAATCGTCTGTCAGTGATAACTGTTTATGTTGCTGGAGCTTGTGAGATACAGATGAATGGGGGGGAGTAACAAACTGAATGAAAACCTCTCTGCATGTTCCTTTGAATGCGTCCCTTCAAGGAGGTCCAATAGACCAATCTATTGGCTTGTGGACAAAGCTTGGTATCATGTTACTAGCTTAGACTGAGTCATTATCTCTATAAATCGCATGAAAAACGTTGTGGAGGTCTTTGAGATCAATTATCATATAAAATAGTCAGATTGCCTACCCCTAGACTGAGCTGTAATGGAAGTTCATGTTCAATTGATTTAGAAAAGATTAAAAATATCTTAAGATTTTTCCCCTGGCGGCTTTCTGAAGAGAAGACCCACCCTCTTACCCAGTCTGTGTGCTAAATGGTTGACATAATGCCTGGCCTTCATAATGAGCTAAAATTGCATTGTGCTGGGATGGGTCAATATTCACTTGTGCATAAGATTACACATCCCTCCATGCAATTAGACAACTGCCTTTCAGTGTTGTATTGAGTTCACCTTCGCTAACTTCAGAGATTTAAAGTGTTAACAGTGTTTGCCCTTCTAATATCATTTTAATGGACAAAATCCTGTTCACTTTCTGGCAAAATGTGGGTGTTGTTGATCAGCCCAGAAGCAATCTGTATTATATAACACCAAGGTCACTGCTTCCCTTATTTTAAACATAACCGAGATGCAAGGAATAGCCACAGAAAATAAGGAAGTGAAAAAAAATTCAAACACCATTTATAAGAAACTCAAATATTTCTGAAAGATGGGGGGGATGAAAAATACAATGGGTAAAAAGAGATGGGCTTCACAACAACAGCGGGAGTGAAATAACAGACAACCAAAGCTTTGTGCGATATAAGAAAATAAGTATGATAAATGAGAAAATGCAGCTGAGGACGGATGGAGACAAAAGCAACGCTAAGAATCGATAATGAGAGTAAAGGTCGCAGAAAACAAAAACTCAAGCAGAAAACAAAAACTCAAGCAGAAAACAAAAACTCAAGCAGAAAACAAAAACTCAAGCAGAAAACATCTGATGAACACAGAAAAGCCTCTGAGAGAAACGACAAGGCGGAATGAGAGCGAAGGAGGAAGTGTCCCATCAGTGAGCTTGTGACAGTCACAGCGTTGACACAGGAGAGAGGGGAGTCATTCATAAAAGCAGCACATGACTTCATGACTGTTACATACTTGTACTGCTTTGACCTCGATTGTCTTTACCAAAAATTATTCAAAAACTCTTACACACACGTTGCAGGGATTCATTCCCTCGGACAAACGGTTGAGCTCAAATCAGAAATCCTCAGCTAAATTTTTGTTTTGGTTACATGTAAGAATTTAAAGAGGACAACAAACCCAGTGTAAAGTCTTTGAAAAGATTCATTTAACAAACGATATCTGATCGGATATTAAGGATATTTCAAATCTCTTTGACCTAAAATTCCACCCAAACTTGTAATTTTTTAACAGTTTCCTATTTTTGCTCTGAAAACAAAAAAAGCATTCTTCACCATGAATCTATTAATCCACATTACATAACATAACAACCACTAATGACAAAAATCAATCTCAGTCATCCACGCACATACTTCGAACTGCCACATCGTCCAGCTGGAAAGAGACGCAGGTTGCCAACAATTTGCCAAAATTAAAAAAGGAACCAACAACACTCACATTGTTCTCAAAGCTCCTTTAACTAGTACCTCCATGCCCACTTGGATGCATGTACAGTAAGCCTGGTACATGACCAGTTCCTACCTGGGCATCATTGCAAGTCTGCCAGTCTTTCCCCAGCCCTCTCTGCTCCTCTCTCCCTCTCTCTCTTCTCTCCTCTCTTAGCCAAAGCAGGGTCTAAGAATAGCGGTGAACTAAATTCACACAACAACATGAGACTGTCAGGTGATCGCAGGAGCACTGCTGTGTGTGCTGGACAGTACAGAGGCAGCGACAGCAGCGAGCCTGGCCTGCTGACTGCCAGAGAGCGCTGTGATGAGGGAGAGTGACAGTGGGGATTTGTTTGCGTTTTTTTTCTAAATCCTGCTCTTTTGTCCCGCTCTTCCTTGTAGTCCCTCTTGTCCTTTCTTCAAACTTTCTTTCCTCAATAAAAACAAAACACATCCTGTAGATGCAAATATAAAGTTCATGTACTTAACAGGGACCTTTCCTGAAGAAGGAGCAGGAAAACCAATAGCTTAAAGAAGTCAGACTCTTCTAGGTGAAAACTTCCCAGACTTTTATTATTCTTTAAATCTTGCTTTACAGAAAAAGGGAGAGTGGTTGGTTTTGTCACTGAAGTCAGTAGAAAGAGGAAGGTACCTGTGGGTTGGTAAAGAGAAGTGAAAGTATTATATATTATAGTGATCAATATCAACACCTTAATAACATTCACTGATTTATCTTATACAGTGGACATAAAAAGGTAAAACTCTCTTTTTGGAAAGTAAATCCATCTTGGATACTAATAATTAGATATTATATAATTTTAGTTTTATCCAAGCTGTACAACATTGATTAATAGCCACTCATGGCCCAAGTGCATACTTATAAAGGTCACAACAAAGCAATCAAATTTCCTTGACTACAGCGACTACACTGACATCAGCCTACTTACTGACCTCAAAGACCTCGTACTCAATGCTACTGAACCACGTGTGTGTGTTAGTGTTTGTCGAAGGCTGACAGACAGTTACATAAATATCCCCTCAGTCCATGCGGTGTGACGTTCTTCCGGCTGAGAGTGACAGAGGTCTCTGTTAGCTCCGGCAGCTTGGCCTTACATCTATGACACTATTCTTTTAAGACACGTTTCAGTGGCATTTCTGCCACAGATAACACCTGATGTTCAATGCTGCCCATGAAGCAAATTTGAGCTTATAACCAGTACATCACAGTTTATCTAGTTATATACATTCAGACATTTAACTTGTTATGGCTCGAAGACGCTTAGGGTAGTAAGGATTTCACAAACGGCCTGTGAACACTTCATAGTGGTTGAGACAGACAGATGTGAAATCTGTCAGAGCTATCTAGATATGGTGAGCAGTGCATG